CTAAAATGGATCTGAACCAATGCTGATATGTCTTTATCTATTGCTGTAAAGAATAGGTGCATGCATTAGCTACTAAATATATATGCCTTTTTATATCCAGAAATGGATGCAAAGCAGTTTTAAAATACAATAAAATCAAGCTCAACAACAATAAAGTAACTTCACCATAACAATTTCTTCTACAATTACTAATTAAAAAAGCTGCTGTTCCATTTTTTCCAAGATTTTATTCCAAATTGCTCCTGTTATTACCTGTAAATACAGATCCACTACTGGTTCACATGAGTTTATGTTCGTATAACACAGCACAACAGTCACAAACTGAAAATCCTGGCTGGGGATGCACACAGCTGTCTAACACTGCTCTTCAAAATCAGGCAACTTTAAAAGCAACCTCTGGAGGAACACAAGAAAATTGCTTTTGTGCACACTGAGTATTTGAAACTCAGCTCCAAAATCAAATATCTGAATGCATCCTTAAAACTTAGTACTTCATGCCCATTTCAAAAAAAAAAAAAAAAAAAAACACCCAAAACCTAGATAAACTAAATTATTTACAGAGCATAGGTAAAAAGCAAGTCAATAGGACTTCATGATGGTTTGCATCAGAAGAGAAAGCAATTCTTGCCCTGTGGTTCTTTGTCTCAATTCCTGTGGATCAGTTCCTGGGGACTTTATGCAGTTTCTCCCAACAGTAAGGCAGAACTTTGAAATTAGATCCGATGGAAGATTTGTTCCCACCAGAGAGCCCCAATGTGTCCCTGGAAGGAAAGATATGGGCCAACTGGGGGAATCCTGAGGGAGTTACATCAGTACAGGGATGGGTAGAGAGAGAGATGGTATTGAGAGTTAGCCAGGTGAGGACACCACCCAGAAAGCTATTGGCAGTTTTGTGTTCTCTCCCTCCTTGCACCAACAGGTTTGATGGTTGTGGTATCAGCTTGCCCTCTTGGGTAACTGGCTCAGCAACAGGATACACCTGAGCCCCAGGGATGGGATGGGTTCCTGTGATTTCTCTCTGATTTATCAAGGGTTTGATTTATCTCTGCAGGCTCCCTGATAAACTGTACTGCCCACTCCACTGCTCAAGGGATTCCCTATCAGAGCTGACAGAGGTGGTCCCAGAAGTGATGCACCGATTCCCCAGGCTCTTTTTGGAGGATGTTAACATTCAAGCTGAGGGTGCCTTAACTGGGATAGCTCAGGATTTCATGGTCTCCATGACAACTATGACTGTGTCCAAATAGGTCATTGACCCATTGCACATACTGGGGCACACAATTATTTCAGCTGCATGTGGGGACGGAGAATCTGAATCATTCTGTTTGTCATGGTCAGATCATTGCCTGATGCAGTTCATACTGACAGCAACTTTTCCCCTCCGTGGGGGAGGGGGGGAGAGACTCTATGTTCCATCCATGGAGGCTACTGGATCCAGATGGTTTCTGGAAGGCTCTTGGGAATTTTCCAGCTGATATGGCTAGGACCCTGTTGGAATTCTGGAACACAGAGATGTCCCAGGCTACAGACATTATGGCTCTGGGCACCCTTCTCTGTAGTAGAGCTCACATGGCTCCATGGTATACCTTGCAGCTGAGAGTGATTAAATGAATTAGGAAACATATTGAGTGCAAATGGAGGAAAACACCCAGGAAAATCAAGCCCTGGTATGTTCATATGATTAAGTATACGTAGGAATAGTGAAAGAGATAAAAAAGAAGAAGAAAAAGAAATCTCACTGCCTCCATTCAATCTTTTATTTAGTACCCAGTGGAACTTTTTAGGGTCATCTGGAGCTTATTACATACTGGACCTAAGAACAGTCTAGTCCTATCTGCAGTCTGCTAGAACATACTTGTTAGGCACTTCCAGTGCAATTTTTTTGTATCTACCAGTGTGCACTACAGCAGGTAAACCTGGATAGTTCCCAAAGCAGTTTTACTGGATGAGTTTCAGTTGGTGCAGTTTAAGAATGTGACAAGGTGCTTCAACTGGTTTGTGCAACCACCTCTATTCGGGCCTTCCATAGACTGCCAATACCAAGGGAGGCATGGAATAAGGCAATGAGGAGGGCCTTCTCAGTGGTGAATTCCCTATTAAGGAATTATCTTCTCATTGAGGCATGTCTGGTGCCAATACCCCCATCTTTTTCAGCATCAGGTAAAAATTGCCCTCTATCCTCAGGCTTTTATGGGTTATGTTAACTATTTTATAATTAGGTCTAAGTTTATTGAAACTGTTTCAAGAAATTGTTTTAGATGTTTAAATCTTTTAAATTTTGAATACCTGAATTTTAGAACATTTTAAATTTGTATACTGCTATTTTATACTGCGTTTTATTGTGAGTTTTTACTGTATCTCTGTTTACTGTACTCAGTAAATTGTTGTGAACCACCCAGAAAATGTGTGGTATAGAAACTGAATATACTGTTTTATTTTCAAGCATTGACTGTGGGTTACTATTGCTTTCAAAAGCAGATGTTTGGCGAGTTTCACAAAGCAATCTGTCTTGTTAGGTATCTGTGGTATTATGCTACAGCCATGAATTTCACAATATTCTGAAATAGATATTTTATGTAGATACTTGTACTATGTGATTTCAAGGGGAAAAGACAGAAAATAGTCACAGATAAATCCTTTATTTAGGCAATACCATTATGAAAGTATACATAAACCTACAGTAAAATTATATTGGCTCTTTCTTGCCAATTGTGTACCTTAGATAGGCTTTTTACAAAAACCACCTTGGAACTGACAGAAACCTACAGGCTTGCAGTTTTGCTAGCTGCAGAGAAAAGCTTCAAGTTTTAAAGCATGTATATATAGACATATACAGACAATTTTTTAGGTGCAGATGACCTTATGTTAATGAAGCTGAATTTCAATGTGTGCCTTTCTGCAGATCAGCAACACTAGTCACTGGAAAACATAAGATGCCATAGCATTATAAAGCCCTCAGAAGAAAAAAAATCACATGGTTCATTATAGTTTTTTAAATGTGTAAGATTTTGGGCTTCCTTCATGCATTGGTAACTGGCAATACGCTCTGCAAATCCAAGATAATGGTCACTTTTGCATCCCTGCAGTGCCCAAGACTCACTTCCTCAATGTGTGGTAAATGAATTGCTGCCAATCACAATTGCCTTATTAGGCTCATGTAGAGCCATGCACCTAAGAATCCATCTGTCTTTCATGTCTTAGTAATGCCCACTTCGAAGAGTTTTTTGTTCTAATGCCAAAGAAGCCACTCGTTCTTGTATTGCTCCCCCTTCAAGTTTCCTCACCTCCCACCCACAAATTTTACTGGGGCAAATCTAACCTTAACATTGCAGCTACTATGCCTAATATAACAACCTAGGTGAAAACAGTACTTTCTAGCAATTAGCACACAGTTGCCCTAAGTGTGGAAAAGGTGTGTAAGCGCAAGAGCAATTCTGTATTTTTCCTAAAGTATGTATCAAGCTAATTTAAAAGTGTGGATAGGACAGGAGAGAGAGAGAGAGAGAGAGAGAGAGAGAGAGAGAGAGAGAGAGA